AATTAAATGCATTACAGTAGGGGTGGTTGAAGCCTGACCCTCCAACACTCACAATAATATGTGGACTGAAAAAATAACGGAAATATATCAAATGGAACAAATAACATATTCCCTGAGACTTCAAAAACATATATTCATTAAAAGGTGGAACCCTGCTTTGGGCATACTGAGATAATTCTATTTCTTTTATTTCATCTTGCTTTATTCTATCTTATTTTATATATTTTTTTGTCATTATAGTCTCCGTCTCTTTTGTTGTACCATAACTGTTACCTTGTGTATGAAACAGCAGATATGATGAATATGATTCTGTACATGATTTTGAAACTTAAATAAAAGTAAAAAAAAAAAAAAAGGAAAAAAAAATAATAGGACAAAAAGAAATCAAGGGACATTTAGAATAGATAAAAATGTGCGATTAATTGCGAGTTAACTATGACATTAATGCGATTAATCGCGATTAAATATTTTAATCGTTTGACAGCACTAAAATAAACAAATAATACTAATTAAATAAAAAAATTAAATTAATAATAACAATTTACTTATATATACTAATCTTTACGTTTTACTAACAAATAAAATCTGTATTTCATTATTTAATACATATAAGTACTATACTGATCCAATTTCCAATTGTAACTATTTAATTTTCAAGCACTGAAATATTGAAAAATGACAATGTTCTTTAAAATAACAGGAAGAAAAGAAATGTTTTTTCTAAAGAAGTAAATTATTTCAAGATTAGAGGTTGGCAAAACTTTTTGAAACTTCTTTCAAAACTTCAAACTTCAAGTTTGACTTTAAACCTAAACATTTCGGGACCGAGTTTTTCTCAGTCATTTTTTTACCCTGCAGTTAGATGCGATTCCATGGTTAAATTGAGATCATCACTCCGTGCTGCTGTATTTTAAGTTTGGACACCATCCGTTAACCTCATTAATGAGTCCTGGGGGGTCAGCTCGGCTCGGGGACCCCAGAAGCGCTGCCTCCGGCCCTGGCGTGCGTGCCTCCACCCAGCCAACAGGCGTCCTCTGCCGTTCAGTCAGTTGACAGATTTGGCTTCATCCTCTCAGCAGCCACAATAGAAATCTAATTCAAACTTACTGGAGCTCATTATGAGTCTGCAGGTGCACGCGGGCCGGCGGCGGTTAATCCCGCTCAATTAGCTCACGGCCCCGCGCACACCAACAATACGTCGACACCAGGGCCGCGCAGACCACGCAGAGAAAACAGCAGTTTGTACAAGATGATGAAGAAGCTCTGCTCACTGAGGCTCAGTTTGAGGAGTCTTTCTGTACTTTTCACTCAGTTTCTGTTCAAAGGGTTGGGAGATAAATGTATGTGAACCAGGCGAACATTATCAACAATATGAACATTATCCACAATATGAACATTATTAACAATATGAACATTATCCACAATATGAACATTATTAACAATATGAACATTATCCACAATATGAACATTATTAACAATATGAACATTATCCACAATATGAACATTATCCACAATATGAACATTATTAACAATATGAACATTATCCACAATATGAACATTATTAACAATATGAACATTATTAACAATATGAACATTATCCACAATATGAACATTATTAACAATATGAATATTATTAACAATATTAATATTATCAACAATATGGACATAATATGAACATTATCAACAATATGAATATTATCAACAATATGGACATAATGTGAACATTATCAACAATATGAACATTATTAACAATATGAATATTATCAACAATATGAACATTATCAATAATAAGAACATTATCAATAATATGAACATTATCAACAATATCACCATTGTCAACAATATGAACATTATCCACAATATGAACATTATCATTTTCCCATGGTGCACTGAGCTCCTCTCTTCCTCTCTCTTTCTACACTCATTCATGTCCCATTAATGCATGTTACTAACTTCACTTCTTCCCCGGAGTTCTTGTGCTTTCTCGTCTCGCAGGTTCTTATCGATCCTGGTGGAGCCTCCTGCCATGGTCCTGCTTGACTGCCATTGCCAATACTGTTGTTGCTGTGCACCTCTCTCTCTCTCTCTCACCCCAACTGGTCGAGACAGACGACCACCCACCTAGAGCCGGAGGATCTGTCCTAGGTTTCTGCCTTTTAACAGGCAGTGTTTCCTTGCCCTTGTCTCCAAGGTCTTGCTCATGGTGGTACTGTTGGGTCTCTGTAATTAATGTTGTAAAGAGTTCGGTCTAGACCTGCTCTATTTGAAAAGTGTCCTGAGATAACTTCTGTTATGAATTGGCACTATACAAATAAAATTAAATTGAATTGAATATCAACATTATCCACAATATGAACATTATCCACAATGTAAACATAAGATGAACATTATCAACAATTCAATTCAATTTTCAATTCAATTTTATTTGTATAGCGCCAATTCATAACAGAAGTTATCTCAGGACACTTTTCAAATAGAGCAGGTCTAGACCGAACTCTTTAACATTAATTACAGAGACCCAACAGTACCACCATGAGCAAGCACTTGGCGACAAGGGCAAGGAAAAACTGCCTGTTAAAAGGCAGAAACCTAGGACAGATCCTCAATATGAACATTATCCACAATATGAACATTATCCTCAATATTAATATTATCCACAATATGAACATTATTAATATTATGAACATTATCCACAATATAAACATTATTAATATTATGAACTTTATCCACAATATGAACATTATCCACAATATGAAAATTGTTAATATTATGAACATTATCCACAATATGAACATTATTAACAATATGAACATTATCCCCACTATTACAATATTAATAATACTTAATTTTAATAATAATGACACAGAAAATCGTTATGAATTTATTAAACTCTATTGTATGTAAAGATCTAAATGTTACTGCAAAGCTTCCTGGGACTGTTTGAATGCCCTTCACTTCATTATTTTATTATTGGACAACGATAATCAGTTGGTAAAATATAGACAAACAGCAGCTCGTGCTCTGTCTCTGAAACGATATTGTGGCAGCCTGTTGATTTTACAACTAATTATATTAACAATAATAATAACAACTGCAATACTGATAATACTACTAATAATAACAACTAAACTAATAATACTACTACTAATAACAACAATACTAATAATAATAACAACAATAATACTTCTTAAAATAACAGCAATACTAATAATACTACTAATATTAACAACAATACTAATAATAACAACAATACTACTAATATTACCAACAATACTAATATACAACTAATAATAACAACAATAATACTACTAAAAGTAACAACAATAATAATACTACTAATAAAAACAATACTAATTCCAACAATAACAACAATTATAGTAATAGCAATAATAATAAGAGTATTAAATGCTGAAGTCCTGCAGCACAGATTAATAGATTAAAGTTGTGTTCGTGCTCTGTTACTCTCTCCTCATTGTCTCTCCTTGTTTAGTTTTCTCTTTTCTTTCTTTCTTCAGAGTTGGCATGAGTACCCCCCCCCTCCCAGTGTCCCCTGATTATCTGTCCATCCTCAACACGTGCAGAGACAAGACGGCTGCTGTTGGACGTGTGTGAGTCTGAGAGCGGGAGAGGATTAAACCCCCCCATAATGTTCTTATAACACTTTATAGAAAGCAGCACAAAGAGAATCAGTCTGCCACACTTCATTCACTTTATACTGTTTATATGATATATATTTCATATATTTTTACACCTCTTACTGTTTATATATTATAATATCTGTATACAACTGTTACTGTTTCAATATTTAATTTAATATCTGTATACACCCGTTACTGTTTCAATATTTAATATATTATAATATCTGTATACACCTGTTACTGTTTATATATTTAATATATTATAATATCTGTATACACCTGTTACTGTTTATATATTTAATATATTATAATATCTGTATACACCTGTTACTGTTTATATATTATAATATATTATAATATCTGTATACACCCGTTACTGTTTATATATTATAATATATTATAATATCTGTATACACCTGTTACTGTTTATATATTATAATATATTATAATATCTGTATACACCTGTTACTGTTTATATATTTAATATATTATAATATCTGTATACACCTGTTACTGTTTATATATTATAATATATTATAATATCTGTATACACCTGTTACTGTTTATATATTTAATATATTATAATATCTGTATACACCTGTTACTGTTTATATATTTAATATATTATAATATCTGTATACACCTGTTACTGTTTATATATTTAATATATTATAATATCTGTATACACCTGTTACTGTTTATATATTTAATATATTTATATTTATCTGTGTATTATTTTATGTTGTATTGTCTCGGAGCTTACCTTTATGAGTAAACGATGCTGTATAAATAAAGTTATTATTACGTTTTTAAATTAAGTTAATTTGTTATTTCATGATTTTTAGTGAAGCATCTAAATAAAAACATATATTAGAGTTATTGTAGGTATTTCTTTATTATTACAATGTATATACAACTATATTAATATTCTCCTCCTTAATGAAACTTATTCATATGAATTATCATCAGATCATATAAATGCATCCTGTCTGTTATTTTAAACTGCATCCTGTTTACTCCAAGATTATCAATCAATTAGAAATAATAATAATAATAATAATAATAATAATAATAATAATAATAATAAATGAGAGAAAGGTCCGATTTCTTTTATAGAAACATTATAACTTTATTTGTAGAAAACTGGTTCCAAGTAAATAGAATAAAAATCTCTTTATGTACAAAATACAGATTTCATATGAGCAAACAAAGTGAGTCAAATAAATAAAAACAACAATCTAAAGGGGGTGGCGGGGGTGGGGGGGGTGGGGGGAGTTCATTCAGTCTCAGTGAGAAACTCTCAGTCTCTTTATTCTGCACTAATTATTAATTCTTTATTAAACCGACGGTTCACCTGGGGGGGGGAGTGCAAAGGTCTCTGGAGAGAAGAACAAACTAAACAACAACTAATTAACTTATTCTCAATCAGACAATAATGAGCTCATTAAGGCAAACAGTGATCATTATTAATCCATCAGTCTGTCCCTGGGTCTGTCCCTGGGTCTGTCCCTCCACAATGTGTCTCTACCGGCGGTTTGTCCCGGTATGTGTCTCAGTAGATGCCCGGCACGAAGCTCCGGAAGCTGTAGAGTGCATCCTGCTGCAGGTAGCTGTAGTCGTCCGCGGCGGCGGGGCTGCCCGGGCTGGAGGTGCAGTACGCCGGGGAGGAGGAGGACGAGGAGCCGCTGGAGCTCCAGGAGCAGGCGTCGCTGCCGGGACTCGGAGCCTCAGCGATCCTGGAGCTGAGCAGCAGAGGGGGGTCGCCAGTCTTCCCCGCCTGCAGGTCCGCGATGCGGATGGTCTCGGACAGAGCCCAGATGTAGTTGTGCGCAAAGCGCAGAGTCTCGATCTTGGTGAGTTTGGTCTCGTCCGGGAAGGCCGGCAGGACCTCGCGCAGCTCGTCCAGGGCGTCGTTCAGGTTGTGCATGCGGTTCCGCTCCCGGTCGTTGGCCTTCGTGCGCCGGTTCTTCTTCACCACCTGCACGGTGGCGTCGCTGCGCGCGCGCCCGCGACGCCGCTTCTTCTGCTGCTGCAGCGGCAGCTCGCGCTCCGGGGACGCGGAGCTCAGGCTGCCGCGGGAGTCCTCGTCGTCGGTGAGCGGGAAGAAGTCGCAGCTGTTGCTGTCGATGTCGGAGTAGACCGAGTCCATGTCGGAGCGCCGGGTCCGGGTCTGATCTGATGGAAGGGGAGCAGCGCGTGCAGTGTGATGTGGACAGTCCCGCAGGTGAGAGCGGAGTCACGCGCACCTAAAGGAAGTCTGCACGAGGTCTCTGAGGTCCAACAGGAGCGGCACGCGCCTCTCTGCGTCTGTCTGCTCTGGATCAGCTCGTGCGAGCCGGAGCCTGGCACACGACCGGCCTCAGTCCGCTTATATACCGGGGAGGGACAATGACCGGCCCCCTGCGCCGGTGCCCCCCGGCCTCCTGCCATCAGAGTGAGGTGTGTGTGTGTGTGTGTGTGTGTGTGTGTGTGTGGCGAGGGGGGGGCTGCCCCGTGCCACGGGAGCTGCTCATTAACATAATGACGCTCGCGCACAGAAGCGTGCCGGTAATCACAGCCAGCCAATCAGAGCCGGCGGAGGGCCACGCGAATGACACACAGGCCCCCCCCCGGAGGCAGAAAACCCACTTTAAACCCAAAAACATTAAAAACAGAAAGAAGAGACTCCCGACCCCCCCGCCGGGAGGAGACACGCTCCGGAGAGTTCACTCATCCTTCTTCATCCCGTCATCCTTCTTAGAAAAGTAAAATCTCTTCAAACCGAAATAAAAGTTGATGAACTTCTTTTAAAATTTCACATTGTAGAAAATAAACCTTTTCATACATTTTTCAAAACAAAAGCTCAATTTCTTCACAATAAAAGCATCGAATGCAGAGCAGAAACTTCTGTACAGTTCTGTTAATGACTTCATTTAATAAGTTCTCTTCATGTTAAAGCAACAATTACTTTGGAAACAATCAGGATTTTGAGTTTTTCATTAGATGAACATGATTATTACCAAATTCTCAGTTTGAATAATAAAAGTCTGTTTTGTATTATTTCTGTAAAAGGTTCATTAATATATGTAAAGATTAAGCCAGTTAATTTTCAGTCAAAGAACAAATAAATGAACTATATGACCTACTGTAGATATATGACTATATAAGTATAAATATATATATATAAATATAGTCATATATGGTTTCATACTAAGTGGATGTCTTTCACCTGTCGGCATTCAGATCCATTCATTCAGAACTCCATTTAAAAAGTCTCGAATTGTAAGATACAAAGCTAATCTGTAACATGAAGATGATTTAAATTCTAAATGTATCACACATGCTGCTTTTTAAAGGTTTTTAAACTAAATTAAAATGAAAGTAAAACCTAGTCGATTATTGTCTGACATTTTGGGATGTTGTCTGCTGAACATTCAGTACTGGATATCTGATATGTACAGATTCTTTTCAAATCTCTCCGGACATTTTTATCCCTGTGAATGTTTGATTTGTCAGATTTAAAGGCTGCAGCTCCTCTTCAGTAAAGGTTGTGTTTTATTCTGAACTATTATTCGGGGACCAACGTGGTTTCTGTTCATTTTCTCTTGATAGCACTGTTGTTGTATTTCTGCTGAGTTTGATATGTTCTTGATGTTTGTTATTGTTGACACTTAAAGTATCATTTCGTTTACATTGTTGAAACTTTAACAAACAAATTTAGGGAAAAAAAGAGGACCCATAAGGGAGCCTTGAGGAACTCTGTAGTCCAAACCCACAGCGTCAGCCCTCAGCTACAACATACAAACAATCTATAAATGAGATAAACCAGATCCACAGTCCAGATCCAGGCCTTACACTGACCCTGGTGTGGATGAAGAACTGTTTCTCTTTCTGAAGTCGGGCTTTGTGTTTGTCTTTCATCCCTTCGGCCGGAGTGAAGCTGTCCAGCTACAGGCCAATTTTCTTTAAGTGTTTTTTAAAGACATCTTTATGAGACAGGCATACCATTTCCCATTAATTATTCCATTTATTTGTTTGCAGCTCAGCGGAGGAGAAGCAGAGACCTGCAGAGTCTTTCTGCTGCGGGGGGGGGGACAGTCATTTATAAATAATTACACAATGTTTAGAGTCTTCAGGCATGTATAATATATCAAAGCGATTATAAGGTGAATTGTTCCATTGTGGCCGTCCGCCCTGTGCTCCTTTTCACTCCTCTCCTGGTTTGTCCCTCGTCCAAATTCAGCTCCTCTGGCCTTTTGTGCTGCTTTCTTTCTGCCTCAGCCACTCTATTGGCATCATTCTTATTCAAATGGACCTCAGCAGGAACAAAACCAAACCCAGGCTGCACACAAATCATCTCTGCCCTGGCTGCAGGGCCGGCACAAGCCTCTGTGAGGCCCCAACAACACGACTCAGCAAATCCTAAATCCTGTTTCACTCCCAGGATAAAGCTCCTTAAAGAGCTGCTCCTCGGCTGACGACAGAACCTCTACAGTCTAACTTCAACCTGGAAAATCTGCAGGTTGTGATGATTGTAGCAGGTGAAGAACCCGAGAACCAACAAAATAATGAAAAGAAGGAAGTTTAGTTCATTTGAGCAAATCCTATAAAACTCTTTTTTTGTTTTAAAGAAAGAAAGAAACAGGAAGAGGAAAGAGGAAGTGTAAAGGAAGCAGAACGGAAATCTTTTGTTTTTCAGTGAAAAAGAAGCAAAAAGGGACATTTAGTAGAAACAAGTTACACCAACAACAGCAACATGTTTTAAACATACAGTGTGTAGTTTCTGCCACTAGGGTGCCTCTCACATCAGAACAGTAACAACAGAGGAAGTGTGATGAGATGGTGGAGCAGCGTGGGATCATGGGAGTTGTTGTCTTCACCACCATTGGCGTCATTGCAGTCAGCTTCTCCCGGTTAGGATTCCTTCAGTGTTCATGGTTCAGGAGGTTTCTACCGGGAGCCCAATGATCCACAGAGGTCTCCTCCTCTCCAACACAAACAGACCCGCTGATTAAAACCACTAAACACACTGAATAAAGCAGTTCCACCTTAAACACACTGAATAAAGCAGTTCCACCTTAAACACACTGAATAAAGCAGTTCCACCTTAACAACTTCTCCCACGCTGTTGGACAGACAAAGGACGTCCCGGAGGGGCTGTGAGCTGAGCTGCTGCTAACGTTAGCTCAGCTTGTTTCTCTGATAACTTAAGATCCAGACGTCCGATGACTAAAATCCTTCATCTGGTTCAAATCTAGAGTTAAAAAGCACCAAGATCTAAACAGTGGATGGTAAACAGTCAGTGTATGACAGCTTCTGATTATTGATTATTGATCAACTCCATATAGAACACAGCTCTAAAGTGTATACACTGTTTAATGATTGTAGATTATTGATTAATGTTTGACCTCTAATGTGACGTTACACACTAACAGCAACCTATTTTAAAACTACAGCAGTTTGCTTGTTTGTTTGTTTGTTTGTTTGTTCTGATGTTGAACCTGACAACAGAAATATTACAGTATTTTACAGCAGAACCAGAGAAGAAAAAAAAGTTTTCAGTCACTGATGAAGACAGTGAGATGTGCCTAAAAGCTCCAGAAAAAGATCTGAGTGTGTGAGGAGGAGAAGGAGGAGGAGGAGGAGGAGGCAGGTTTATATTGTACAGCTGGTTTAAAGCTGTGTTCCTATTGGCCGAGAGCTGAAAAGTCTGAGTCTGTAACTTTTAAAAGAAAAAAAAATTAATAATCAATAATAATAATTAATTATTTTATTATTATATATAATATTATTATATTAGATATAATTTATATGTGTGTGTGTGTGTGTGTGAGAGAGTGTGTATGTGTGTGTGTGTGTGTGTGTGTGTGTGTGTGTGTCAGTGTGAGTGTGTGTGTCAGTGTGTCAGTGTGTGTGAGTGTGTGAGAGTGTATGTGTCAGTGTGTGTGTGTGTGTGTGTGTGTGTGTGTCAGTGTGAGTGTGTGTGTCAGTGTGTCAGTGTGTGTGAGTGTGTGAGAGTGTATGTGTCAGTGTGTGTGTGTGTGTGTGTGTGTGTGTGTCAGTGTGAGTGTGTGTGTGTGTGTGTCAGTGTGTCAGTGTGTGTGAGTGTGTGAGAGTGTATGTGTCAGTGTGTGTGTGTCAGTGTGAGTGTGTGTCAGTGTGTGTGTGTGTGTGTGTGTGTGTGTGTGTGTGTGTGTGTGTGTGTGAATGGAAGTCAATGTAGACGATAAGCATCAATAAATAATCAATAAAGGATCAATAAGGTTGCTCTGGTAGAGGTCAAACCCGGCTCAGTCCACCTTAAACGGACTCTGTGAGTTAAGGTGGATGTGTTTCCTGGTGGTGGCGTTGCCATGGCGCCGGGGTCCAGACTGTCCCTTTGTGTGTGCTAATGTTGAGTAAACTGGAGGTAAATTATCGCCCTGAGCAAACAGACGCAGACAGACACTGAATGGACGCTGCTGCTCCCAGAATGCAACAGCAGATTGATGGAGGAGAAGGCCGCGCGGCGAGGAGGCAGCGGCATTCAGGACGCTGATTGACGGCGCCGTTCCTTCAGATTAAAACCTTCCTGAACAACAATATTAATGAGGACGGACACAACACAGGAGGACAACGAGGACAAGGGTGAGGAAGAGGAGGAGGAAGAGGACGAGGGTGAGGCGGGGGAGGAGGAAGAGGATGTGGCTGAGGATGAGGGTGAGGGTGAGGAGGAAGAGGACGAGGGTGAGGATGAGGGTGAGGGTGAGGAGGGGGAGGAGGAAGAGGATGAGGGTGAGGAGGAAGAGGACGAGGGTGAGGAGGAAGAGGACGAGGAACAGGACGAGGGGGAGGAGGAAGAGGATGAGGAACAGGATGAGAGTTAGTAGGGGGAGGACAACGAGGACGACGGTGAGGAAGAGGAGGAGTAACAGGACGAGGGTGAGGAGGAAGAGGACAAGGGGGAGGACAACTAGGACGAGGGTGAGGAAGAGGAGTGGGAGGAGGAAGAGGACGAGGGTGAGACCAGAAGATATTCATGAAAACAGACACAATGCAGGATGAACAGGACGAGGAGGAAAAGATGTGGATGAAGAGGACCAACAGGACGCACAGGAGGACGAAGACGAGGAGAAATGTAGTCAGGAGCTGTGATCACTGACCAATAATATATAATAATAATAAAATAAAGTCGAGGCAGATGACCACCCACCTAGAGCCGGGATCTGTCCTAGGTTTCTGCCTTTTAACAGGCAGTGTTTCCTTGCCCTTGTCGCCAAGGTCTTGCTCATGGTGGTACTGTTGGGTCTCTGTAATTAATGTTTTAAAGAGTTCGGTCTAGACCTGCTCTATTTGAAAAGTGTCCTGAGATAACTTCTGTTATGAATCGGTGCTATACAAATAAAACTGAACTGAATTGAAATCAATAATGAGGTGATTTTATAAACTAAAGGAGGCAACTGATGGTGTGTGTTTACCCAGAATGCATCTGTGTGTCTACCTGCAGT